AGCTTTTCTCAGTAAGAGGGAATGAACATTTCCTCAAACAACAGAATATTTCTATGCAACTAACCAGAGATCAGGGGATGTGATGAGTGGGATGGGATCGTGTCATAGTCTGATTGCCAAATTCATCTCACCACCCTATGCAGCTTGATTGAAAAGTGAAGAAAGACTCTAGTTATGAAGAAGGAAAGACTTCTGTTATGAATGCACTAAGCTCCTGTGGAGGGGGGGGGGGGGGGGAAGCAAAGTGGAAATACTAATGGAGAGAGGAAAAGCAGAAGACAGCAAAGGTGTAACAATAACCAGTTTTGAAAAAGGCCAGTATTAATGGAGAATATACTGTGTTCAAGGCAAGCTTAGAAAAAACTGTCTGTATTTCACATTTCAGAAATGGCACTAACAGCAAGAATCCTTTACAGGGGAGAATGTATTATTTCAAAATGCTGCTTCCCTGTGGACTTGCTGGATGGTCACAGACCGCTTATTGTTTCATGGCAATTAACATGGATCAGACCAAAGGCATAGCTAAACCAGCATCTCATTTCCATGTGGCCAGCAAGATGTTCATGGAAAGCCTTAAACATAGAAAACAGAGTGAGCCAGAAGGGGTCTCCCGGGCCATGTAGTCTGACCTCCAGCACCAGCTGGCTCTGCTCAAGACATGCCCACCATGTGGACGTCCAGCCTATCCTTGAACACCCGCACCGATGGGGCCTCAGTGACCTCTCATGGAAGCCCATTCCACACCCCTCGGGGTCCTGACTGTCAGGAAGTGCTTCCTGGCATCTAAATTGAACCTGCGTTCCCTGAGCTTTGCTCCGTTGGAGAGCGTCCTGTCTTCCTCTGCAGGGGAGAACAGGTCTCTACCCATCTCCATGTGACATCCCTTCACATACCTGTATGTCGCCAACATATCCCCTCTGAGTCTCTAAACACAAGAGCAACAGACCTCTTTCACTGTTCTTTCACAGCAGCTTTGCTGCTTCCAGTCCTGGGGGTAGTCCATAGCCATCACAAATAACAGCCACTGACAGACTTACTTTTCTTTAATTTGCCACTTTTAAAGCATTCTAAATGATGACCATACCCGCAATACTGTGAAAGTGCATTCTATGGTATGAATCTCTACAATTCATTGGACAACCCCAGGTTTCAGCATTTAAAAGCAGGAGAAAAAACGCTTCTGCTTGCCCACTTTATATGCATTTTGTATTATTTTATATATCCACCATGTTCTCTGTTACTCGCCCTTTTTTCTGAGTTAAGTGTATCGAGGGTCTGCCTGGTCTCTGACCTCTGGTGGAGCAGCACCTGGCAGGCACACTGCTACACAGGGATGACCCAGTATCCTTCAGAGGAAGCTGCCCTGCAGGCATCATGTGGGGCACCACCACCAGGATGAGGGCTGAAGGCCTATACCTTGCCTCCCACCTTATGCCTTGTTCTCACTCTATCCCTGACAATCCAGGGGACTCCCCACAAGCCTTCCAACCCCCCCCCCCCCCCCCCCACCCCAGGCTCATGGCAGTTTCCCTGTCAAATGCCCAGATGGGGATTATCAGGAAAGTCTGGCCAGCAAGGAATGCTGATCCTTCCTGGCGCCCACACCGCTGACCTCCATGTTCCAGTCTGCGGGGCAGCATTTCCAAATCCTGCATATGGGGGCAGGGGGAGGCATGTACAGAGAGGGATGGGGAAGGGATGTGTGGGCTTACGCATGGCCATGGAGTGTGGCAGCAGCAGGAGTGCTGCTCTGTTGCTCCTGCCGAGCAACAGGTCTACTCCAACCCACCTACTCCAAAATAAAGCAGCAGCTGGCTGAGAATGTGCTCAGGGGAGAGGCAAGCACAGTAGGCAGGAGAGGGGCATGCTGGGATTGATTCCCATCTGCGCGGGCTGATGGGGTATGTGTTGCCATTTCGCGGGAAGATGGAGGCATGTGGAAGCTACTTATGAGAAGATTCCATATGCATGTGTGAACATGGGAAAGAAAGTGAGATACCATACCTCACAGTTACCACACAGCCTAGTTTAAAATTATGTATAACCTCAGCCAATGGTTGCATTGAGTTCTCCACTCAGCTAACTCCCTTTCTGGTCAGCCACTGCCAACTTAGAGACAGACTGTCTGCAAATTGGGAACTGTGAAGTCTCTCAGTGGATTGTTTAAAGGACAAGAAAGGGGAAGGCTATACTGCACCTTCTACTTCTAAGTGCTGTTAGTTCTATGGAAGTGGTAAAAAAGCAATGACCTGAAGTTTCAGAGGTTGACAAATTTAATCCATGGCCCATTTTTGAATAAAACTGAAAAAGAACAAATACCATGAGATACCTCTGAGCAGAGGTATATCCGTCATATATACACGTAATTAAGTAAACTTCTCAGTTTCCAAGGGTGGAAACCGCAATCAGCAACTGGCAAACATATTTATCTTCCCTTTTCTCAAGTCACAGTTTTAACTATTACAACCCACACCTGCCACACCTGTGCAGCTATGCTGCACCCAAGAAAAAAGTCCAGAGTGGTAGGAAATAGTCCAGAACACCTACCACCATTATATCTAAGACCTCAGAATGGTCTGAAGGTTATGCATCATTTATGAATAGTTGGCTCTTGATCAAAAAAGGATCATGTCAAAGAGACAGTTCTTTCTAGAGCTATGTAAGAGCAAGTGTTCTCAAAAGAAGTACAGCTTATGTTGGCAAAATACCTCCAAAATCGCTAAACTTCTCATTAGACTCTTGGACTTCAAAGGCATTGGAGCAGGATCTAGCTCCTTGAGAGGGGAACAGATTTTATTATCTTGGAACAAAAAAGGTGTTATTCTAAAAGCTGATATTCCTGGACTAACAGGTCTTTGCCATACCAAAGCTTTGATAAACATGCAGAACAGTCCTATGCTTTTTAAACACATACAAATAGGTCCTAACAAGTCAAATGAGATCTGCTCCCATCTAAGCAGTCATAGGACTGACTTCAATCTCTTGGCCAGAGAAAAGCTTTTGAACAGCTGAACACCACTAGCTTCTAGCTTTTCACCACTACTCGCATGAGGGATGCTACAAAAAAGTAGGTGGAATTTGAGGCACACCTTTTTCTTATAGCTTTGAAAATAGAATGATAAGAACTGGTTCCTGATGGGGGGAGTTCACTACCAGTCAAAAGACAATGCACAATGATTCCATCTAGTCTTCCTTAGATTGCAATCCTATACCCAGCAGCCATGGGGAAAGCTCCTTTAATTCAGTGGGACTTACTACTGAGTAGATATGTGTAGGGTTGCACTGTTAATGGATTTTTTTCTGGTAAGAAAAAAGAAGTTCTAAGGAAATATAGAATTACAAATAGAAGAAAATACCATCTAGCTCCCTGTAAAATTCTGTAAATAAAGCAATACAGACTGTACAATCAGAGCCTCATCTGGAAGCAGCCTAGGTCTGGGGAGAAGAGAGGAACAAAAGTTTCACAGACTTGGCACTGAGTGCAAGAGTTTCATCCATTGCAAAACCTTGAGGTGGACAGAGCATAGCAATTTTCAAGGCTCCATCCTACAAGCCAGCTGCTTAGAGGGATAGTAATTGTGGATCCTGGACACTGTGCTCCATAAAGCAGATCCAGCCATGGCAAGGCACATGTATGATTCATGGAAATTATAACTAAACTGGAGAATATTCCATGTGTACAGTTAACCTCTGTGTACAGTCACATATAACCTATTCACTTGATATCCATTTACTAAGCTTGCTGTAACATCAGAATCTTTCTGGAAGATTGTCAAGCTAATGAACTCTGCCATTCCTCTGAAATCCAAGTTCATTATTAAACTGCTTCTTAGATACCAGTTCTGCAGAAGAAGCAAATTCTTTGTCTGCATGTGACCTGTGAAAAGTAATTTAGAGAAACAGCCACTCAGACTGAATGCGCAGTCCAAGGTCAGAAGGGGACCACAGCAACCACTCCAGCCAAAACCCTTAAGTAAGGCAAGACACTAAATCCCATCTATGTGCATTGAAATCTGTTGTTTGAATGGTTTCTTTGTGAAGGATGCCCTAGCAGGGCTCTTCCCATGAACATTTAAATAAATAAAATAAAACCACGAATACTAGTTGCTTCCAGTTTCATTGGTAGGACGTAGTCATAATGATCAAGTGAAAGTACTAAATAATTTCTGTGAACACTGATTCTGAATAAAAATGCACAGAATCAAGCTTTATCACTGTGGGGGGAAGGACCAAATCTGGGCCTCCACAGCTCCCCTGATGGCCACACTTCCTCTGATCCCCCACGCATCTCTGATGGTTCCCCAGTTTTTGTGCATTTTCCTGGAAATATAAAAAGCTGAAATGCTTCTCCTAAGGTTTAGAGTAAGAAGAATCTAAACAACACAGAATATGACAGACTTACAGAAACACCAGAAAGGGCTATTTTAACATTTAAATGTAGCTTCTTCAGTGAGAACCTACTATGACGTAAGAAAACTAGATTGGTTACAACTTTATTTTTAATAGAGCCACCTTATATGTCTATTCACAAGTTAAGTTTCATACAATTAATGGATTTACTTTCAGGAAAGGGAGGGTGAAGGAATGCAGCTTCAATCAAGTAATCAAGTATATACCTCTTTGGTTATAAAAATTTTAGGTTTCAATCCTCTATGTATTTACCTGGGAGTAAGTCCCACTGAACTCAAGGGGCTTACTTTTGAGGAGATCTGCACAGCATTGCAGTATTAGTTTACTATAATAATTTCATTGCAATAGCAATTAAGACTAATTTACCCTACTCTTAGGCAAAGAAACCCAAATATTTTGTTTGAATTTGGGCATGCATAAAGAATAAGATGCAGTGTTAAGAAATATTTTTAAAATATACATTTATTTGATTTGTGTTTCTCCTAGAGTAGTCCTCCCCAACCAGGTGCTCATCTGCATCATGTTAGGATTGTAAAACCTTTTTCAGTCTACACATGTATAAGATTTTACCCAGGTGGAAAAGAACTTACTGGTTTCGGCATTTTTTATTCTTGGAAATGTTCCTGCTGGTCCAGAAGCAAATACTCATGCAGCAGCCTAAGGATGTTATTTCTTCTAAGAGACCTGAACAAAAGAATGCAAATAATTATTATATAGAAGTTAAAGTAAGGCACAATGTATGGTGGAGGAGTTTCAAGTCGGGATGATTCACTCAGCCAATAATCACTTAATAATGCCAGGGCTTAAGAAAAAAAAAAAAATCAGTGATCGCCTCCAATGAAAAAGAGCTCAATTGCAAGTAGAGAAGGTCATTTGTCCAGCCACACCCAAAGGAGCAAGTATAATTTGCAGGTTTTTTCATGGAACAGCGTTTGCGCAGAGCACAAGGGTGGTGGTGGTGGGTGTACCTAAAGCAAGTATCTAAGCAACACAAAATCAACGAAAGCCCTTCACTTGGCTTGTAGGAAAACTTCTACCCAGTCTCCCATTCAGGCACTGTGGAGGAGCATTAGCTTTACTAAGTGCAGCCTCTTTGGAAGAAATTAGGTGTTCGATCTGGAGTAACCAGCTTGCCATTGACAATTTTATGAAGGACTTAAGCACAACATAGGGACAATATTTCACTCCGAAGGAAAGCAGTTATTACCTCGCTTTGCCTACAAGCTACGGAGGCTAAGAGGAGTTTCCAGATAGGTCAAAATATAGGTCTGATAAAACATAATCTTTCCACCTCACCGCTCAAACAAAATGTTGGAAGGGTAAAACACTTTCCAGGGTCCGGGAAGCTTTTGTACTGTTTTATTCAGTCCATTAAAGTTGATACCATGGAGTCCCGTCTTCTTACGTTACTCCCTTCCTGCACAGATATGTCGGAAGCGCGTGAGGAAAAAAGTCACCTTTTCTACCACTCCGGTGAAAACAGAACGGCTGAAGGCACACCTAATCCACTTTAACGCTGCAATCCAAAGTACACTTATCTGGAAATAAGCTCCACCGAACTCACTGGGACTTACTTCCAAGCAAACCCGCAGGAGGCTTGCTTTGTACGTTATCTCAGATGAGCATTTCATAAGGGAAACTTTCAGACGACAAAGCTAACCACGTTTAATTGAGAAGTTCCGCTGAGCCTTGCGAGTAAAACAAACCAGAGCTCAGGCTGCCATCCCTCGCGCGCTTACTTGGCCGAGAGGCTCAAGCAAGTCGGTGGGGTTTCTGAGAAAAAAGCGAAGAGTTTGGCTGTTCAAAGCGGGAAAGCTAAAGGAGGCAGACGATTAGAAGGACACGCCTAAAGAACACAATCCCAGAGTTGTCTATGCAGAAGCGAGCCCCATTGAATTTCACGAATCTGACTCCAAGCTAAATGGGTCCAGCACTGCAGCTCAAGTTAAACTTTACAATGAGAAAAAAGCCTTTCCTAAATCAAAAAGGGCTCCTGCAGGAGAGGGTAAATCCTGCCTGCAGAACGACCTGCTAGCAGCGTCCCCGCCACGGAACCGCTGCGCGTGGCCTCGCGCGCCACCACACCTGTTCCCGGAGCCGCGTCCCCCGCGCGGCTACTCGGTTCCCGCCGAGCCCGGAGAGCGGCCCCGCGGGAGCCGAGCGGAGCGTCGTTCGGCAGCCCTTACCTCGTTGCTGCGTCCTCTCCTTCGACCGGGCAAGGCGGCTGCGCCTCCGCTGCAGCTGCTCTCTGCTCCCCTGGGCGTCGCTGCCTGACCCTCCCCGGCGGTAAACACAATATGGCTGACGGCGCAAGTGCTACAGGTCGTTTGCCTCGCCTCGCCCGCCCGCCCGCCTCCCCTGCGCCAGCAACTCGCGAAGGTCACACCTTCCCCCTGCTGCGCGCTCCGCGAGTGTTTAACCTAGGGGAGGAGCAGCCGAGGACTCAACCCGCCTGGGGGGAGACGACCTTAATCGCACCTCTGTGATTTGTAATGCACTAACGAAGCTCTCCAGGCGGAGGCTTACCTCCTTGAGAAAGGAAAGGTTCTTGTGCCTAGTGAGTTTCCCACATTCGTGCGTATTTTCCGCGCCTCTCAGTTCCTCCTCCGCTCCACTGTACCGGCGCAATTTCCGCACGCCAAGAAAATTTCTCCGCACTTTAAGGCGTTTGAGGCAGGTGCGGCAATAATCGAGTTGCATTAGCAACAAGGTTATTAAGGAGAAGAAACAAACAAACCATAACCGTCTGGAGTAGTGAAGTACAGTACTTGGGCAACTGTGATGGAAATCGGGTGTAATCCCACCTCTGCCACCAGCACGTAGGGTGATGGTCAGGGTGTGTGTCTGAAATGTGGGAACAAGGGCAGTAAAATAACCAAATACTGCAGTGTAAGTGTGGAAGCTGTTGAGTTCATGAGAACTCTTTAAACTCATTAACATTTTATATGATATATAAAAATCATCTCAACAAACCATTTCAAAAATGGTTGTAAATGGTACTTACCGCCCGCCCCTTGAGATCAGTGGGAGAGGCCCTTCTCCGGGAACCCTCCGTGAAGGAAATTAGGAGGGTAGGTACTCGGAGGAGGGCTTTCTCTGCAGTGGCGCCCAATCTATGGAATGCACTCCCCAGAGAGGTCTGCCTGGCGCCCTCATTATTTGTTTTTCGGTGCCAGGCGAAGATCTTTTTATTCAAACGTTATTTTAATTGTTAATATTTATTTATTTTATTCTTTGGCCAAGGCGACTTAATTTATATTGTTTTATAGGATTCTATTTATGGTTGTGAGCCACCCTGAGGCTTCGGTGAATGGGGCAGCATAGAAGTTCCCCTAATACATACATAAATAACCAAGGGTAAATGCCCAAGGAAAGAAAAGGTGTTGTTCTGTCCCTACTTTAGATCTTGTTTCTTTGCTTCCCCCATCCCTTTGTTGCTTACAATCCTACTCCAGTGAATTTTTGGTTGATTCCAAGAGAGGTACTCATTGTGTACTGCTTTGGGTTTGTTGGTTCTGCTGTGCCTCACATTCATTTGAGGCAATGGTTAGGAGCAAAGCCACATGCTACTGCACGAGTTCTGTAATCACATATCTGGATTTCTTTTTAAAGATGGAAAAAGCAGTCAGATTGCCCTGCATTGTGTTGCAATTCAGACATTTTTCCTGAGTGTTTACATCTAGCAAGAGTACACTCTAAGTTGCTACTGAGCATGGGAAGTAGAGAAGGGAGCCTATATTGTGCCTGTCTCCCCTTCCTGCTTTTCCCCCTGGTCCCATACAGATAATAGGAGCTTGGGGAGTGGGGACAATTTTGCTCAGGGAAATAGGGCTGGGGAGAGTGTTAAAAGCTCCTTCCTCAGTGCCAAAATCACAATCCAATTAGTCCTTGCAGTTGCTTTTAAACCAGTCTTCTTAACTCAGGGGTGAGAAACATGTTGCTCTCTAGGTGTTGTAGGACTCCAGCTCTCATCAACTCCATGAGTGTGACCAATGCCCAAGGCAGTTAAGAGCACCCCACATTCCCTACCCCTGCTTCAAGTAATGAGATGAGGAGGATGAGCTGGATGATCTCAAGATCCCTTACAGCTCAATGATTCTGTGGTTGTAAGCCTGGGCTTTGGACTATGCAAGGGCTGCTAAGTGGTTAAACCTGTCTAACAAGTCTGGCTTTGTCAGGTAAAATAATGGCCAAATACCTTTCTTTTTGTTAAATACATTTTATACAGCTGGACTGACAGCACAGTTCTTTCATGTCTTCTCACAGGTGCAAGTTCTCAACAGTAAGTGGGGTGTACTCCAAGGAAAGCTCTTGGGATTGCAGCTTTAGCTTCCCTGCTTCTTAGAAGAGACAACTTTTATGAAGAAGCTGTAATATTTGTGGAGACAGTTGAGAGAAAACCCGACAAGGTCATGCTGAGGAGCCAGAGAAGTTAGTGGAGCTTTGGAAGCATCTTTAGGATGTTTACTAGAAACTTCAGGCTGAAGTACAAATGCTGTGTGCTTTCACTTATGCTCAGCTTATATGTGTGCATAAATAAACTATCATAAAACACCAGTCTGCAGCAACTTCATTTCAAGGAAACAAACCCCTGGATAATCCTCATACATCTGGAGTTCTCAAGACTCTGAGAGCAGGGGGTGAGTGAGGGAGATATATGTAGTTAGGCTCCAGGTTAACTGCTTTCTTTAGTTGTGGGTTGCTCACTGCATAGAACAACTGAACAAGCAAAACCAGGAAGTGGCATTTAACTACATTACACTGCATGCATGATCACATTTCATGTTTCTAAGGGAAGACAAGCTGCTTAGCTTGTCTTCCCTTAGCAAATAGCAGGGTTTGTGCCATGGGGGAAAAGGTGAACTGCTATGCACGCTGCTGCTCAGATCCTGATGGGGCCCTCATAGCTGGAATGGAGTAGCCCCCCGCACCCCACCCCCAGCCATGCTAGATGAAACCATCAAGGGGAAACCTGGCAATATCCCACACCCTGGGAGGGATGGACTAACATGAGTTTCCTGCATTGTTCCTCCTCTCTAGCATGGACTTGGAAGGGAGGCTCCAGTATCTGATCCCTCCCTGCCCCCTCACAGCTGCTGGGAAAGGACCGCACTGGCTGCTTGAAAGCCAGCTTGGTGAACCACAGAGAGCATGTACACGGAAGGCCAGGGGAGGGAGAAGCCTAGGATACCTCTTCAGTCTCAATCCTGCCCTCCCCCTTGCCCCCTCCCCCCAGAGAAACTTGCCTAGAACACTGAAATAAATGGAATAGGGTGTGAGTAAAATCACCATCATTCCTCCTACTCTGCTGGATGGGATTCCAGATGAAAGTCTGGATATTTCATCTCATGAGACACAGCCCACCAGGTTGCATGGTTAGTGTAAGAAATGTCCCTGTTTTATTGTGACTAAAATTCCTCTTAATAATTTATATTATTAGTTTCTTCTGGTATGTAATCATGAATTGTAGGCACAATACAATACAGAATCGGTACACAGATCAATTGTTACCAGTCTTCTAAAGAAGCCCATACACACTTTTCTGTTGTTGTGTATACAACAAACCCAGGATAAGGGTAAAGGTTTCCCCTTGACATTAAGTCCAGTCCTGTCTGACTCTTGGGGGTGGTGCTCAACTCCATTTGCTAGCTGAGGTAGCCGGTGTTTGTCCGTAGACAGTCTCCGTGGTCATGTGGCCAGCATGACTAAACACTGAAGTACACAGAACACTGTTTACCTTCCCACCGAAGTGGTACCTTTTTATCTACTTGCATTTGCATGCTTTCGAACTGCAAGGTTGGCAGGAGCTGGGACGGAGCAACGGGAACTCACCCCATTGTGCATATTCGAACCGGAGACCTTTCGATTAGCCAGCCCAGCAGCACAGCAGTTTAAATCACTGCGCCACCTGCATCCCTCAATTAACCATAATTTCCCATTCTGAACTGTGACATGAATATATCAGGCCAGGAACAAGACAGGATTTTATGCTAAATTCAAACCATGGTTTAAGATTGCTCCAATCTTACCAAGCATGATTTTCTAGGTTGGACATAATGGAAAAATTATAGTTAATTACAGATGTCCCAGTTTATCATGCCATATGAAGAAATGGGGGCAGAACTGAACTCTGGGCAAGGAAGGAGAGCATAGGCATAAAACTTGCCTCCTTCTCTATGAGGAGGAGATATGTATATCCAAACTGTAGTAGATGGACAAAAAATAAATGGACCATAATGGTTACAGAGACAAATTCTGTACAGAGGATGAATTATAAGCCAAAAGGGAGTGGATGGACAACCTGGGGATCGTGGGGGAAATCGCTGCTTTCAACAGCATCTGCCACAGTTGGGCCAAACAAAACAGGAACAACATTGGGATAGCGGTAGACCCAACTACATTGGCAGTGCTTAAATTAGCCTTAAAAAGGTGGGAAGAAACAGTGCAGCAGCTGTTGGATTGGTTTTTGTTGGTTCACATATGCTATGTACATACGTTAACCCATAACACATCGCATGATAACCAACCCCTTTGCAAATCTTAGTATATGTGAACTGCCTGCATTGAGGTGATATTGTAAACTGCCCAGAGAGCTTCAGCTACAGGGCAGTATAGAAATGAAATTGATTATTATGATTATTATGTAAAAGTCTTCTCCATCCTAGCTATGAAGTGGCCTCCCTAGATAGGTATGTGAGTCCAGTGTGTATGTTGTTGATTCTTTTTTGCTGAATGCCTTTTTTATCTACCCAAACATTTTAATCTTACTTTTAAGTCTGTTGATAGTTTTTATGCTGTTTGAGATTCTACTAGTTTTTAAGATTGTACTGGTATACTACCGTTATTTTAACTGTTTTTCCATATTTTGTTTTAAATGTGAACAACCCTGTGAATTTCATAGAATAGTAGAGTTGGAAGGGGCCATTGAGTCCAGTCCTCTGCTGTTGCAGGACACCAAGTTACACCAATTTGAATGACAGCATAATACATAAATACCAGCACTTTACCTGAAGGACGCTAGGCATATATATGGGGATTCCTAATTTTATAATCTAGTCAGCTTGTCTGAGAGATAAATGGTCCATGATCCCATACTGAGTTTTCTGGCTCAGCATGGAAACAGATCTCCCTAGTTCAGAGTAGGAAATACGTCACCTGATTTCAGTGGGATTTAATCCCTGGTAGTGAGAACAAGCAAGCCACTATGTCATGCACATGAAACAAAAATGCTGATTTTTAAAAAAGTTTAAGAACTTGTGTTGGTTGGAAACT